TTAGATTTTTTTTAGGCATTAGACCCCTGTTTCCTCGCTCCATATTTCGCCCAAAACGACCATGCAACGTTGCAAGCAGGGGGGGTAGGGGGGATAGGGGGGAGGTAGGTAGTGTACACAGATTTCAGCCGATGGATTTCATGCGGCAACTTCCCTCCTTTCCTCTGCAACCTTTCCGAGTCTGAATTTTGCATGGACATAAGCGCGGAATTTTTTGCGGGAGAGACAGCACCTCGGCAGGCGTCCCCCATGCGACCTGAGGAGAGACTGAGGGCGCGTCTCCTCGTCTTTGGGACAATCTGGGCGGAGTGGTGGGGGTGGGGGGGAAGGGAGGGGAGAGGGGATGAGCGTGGGGGGGAAGGAGGGGAAGGGGGGGAGAGGGGATGGGCGTGGGGGGGGGAGGGGAGGGGGGAAGGGTATGGGCGTGGGGTGGAGGAGGGGGTGGGGTGGGAGGAGGGTGGGGGACAGGGGGTGAGGAGGGAAGGGGAGGGGGGGGTGAGGGAGGGGAAGGGGGGAGAGGGAGGGATGGGGGGGTGGGGGGAGGGGAAGGGAAAGGGGGGGGGGGGGGGGGGGACGTGGGGGTGGATGCTATTGCTCTTTTCTCGGTCTCTTTCCATTGCTTTCTTGCTGTCTCTCTCTCTCTCTCTCCTCTTTCTATTTCTCTCTCTCTCTTTCTATTTCTCTCTCTCTCCTCTCACTCTCTTTTCTCCCTCTCCTCTCTCTCTCTCCCACTTCTCTCTCTCACTCTCTCTCTCTCTCCCTCTTTCTCTCTCTCTCTCTCCTCTCTACACACACATAGAAAGAAGGAAAAAAAATCCCTACAAAATAAAAAAAAAAAATCCCCCCTTGCTTAATTTAATTTTATACTTGCTTAATTAATTAGAAAAAAAGAAGAAAAAGAAAAAAGACCAAGAAAAAGAAAAAAGAAGAAAAGAGGAAAGGAAAAAGAAAAGAAAAAGAAATGGAAGGAGAAGAAAAGAATCGGCGGCTGCACCTTGGGACTCAAGTGGCCTTAATTCACACATTTTCTCGACGCGGCGGCCGGGGGGAGAGGCGCGGGCGTGAAAAGGAGAGAAAGGAGAGAGCGCGGGCGTGAAGGGAGAGAAAGGGGGAGAGGCGCGGGCGTGAAAAGGAGAAGAAAGGGAGAGAGGCGCGGCAGCGTGATGAGGAGAGAAAGGGAGAGGAGCGCGCGGCGTGAAAGGGAGAGAAAGGGAGAGAGCGCGGCGCGTGAAAAGGAGAGAAAGAGGAGAGAGGCGCGGGGCGTGTAAAGTAGAGAAAGGGGAGAGAGCGGGGGCGTGTAAGGAGAGAAAGGGAGAGAGCGCGGGCGTGAATGGGAGAGGGAGAGAGCGTGGGCGTGAAGGGAGAGAGCGGCGGGCGTTTGACAAGGGAGAGAAAGGGATGGAGAGCGCGGGCGTGCAAGGCTGAGAAGAAAGGAGAAGAGCGCCATGGCGTGAAAAGTGAGAGAAAGGAGAGAAGCTGCGGGCGTTGAAAGGGAGAGAAAAGGAGAAAAGCGCGGTCGTTGAAAAAGGAGAGAAAGCGGAGGAGGATGCGCGGGCGTGAAAGCGAGAGAAAGGAGAAGACCGTGCCGTGCAAGGGAGATTTAGCGCGGGCGTGCAAGGAGAGAAAGGTGAGAGAAGCGCGGGCGTGAAAGGGAGAGAAAATGGGACAGAGGCGCTGGGCGTGAAGATGGAGAGATAAGGGAGAGGAAGCGCGGGCGTGAGAGGGAGAGAAGGGAGAAGAGCTGCGGGCGTTCGAGAGGGAGAGAAGGGAGAGAGATCGCGGGCAGTGATAAGGATGAGAGCGCTGGGCTGTTGAAAGGGAGAAGAGCTGCGGTGCGTGAAAAGGTGAGAGAGCTGTGTGTGTTGAAAGGGAAGAAAAAGGGAGAGTGAGCGCGGGCGTGTGAAGGGAGAGAAAGGGTGAGGGAGGGGGGAGAAAGGCGAGGGAAAGGGAAAGGCAAAGAAAGGTCGGCAGGACAGGCGTTGATAGGAAGATAGAAGGAGATTATGATGATTAGAGGAATGAGGAGAAGTAGAAAGCGACGCGTGGTGATTGAGAGTTGTGAAAGGAACGAGGGTGAAGAGAGAGAGGCCGAGGAAGGGCGGAAAATAGGTGAGTGAATAACAAACGAAATAAGTGAGGAAGAGATGGAGATGGGTGATGAAAAAAATGGGCGAGATCGGCTAGGAAGGTAAAAGGATGGGAGAGGGGAGAGAGGGAAAGAAAGAGAGGAAGGGATGGGTGAAAGAGGAGGAGAGAGAAAGGGAATAGAGATGAGAGAGAGACGAGATGAGAGATAGAGAGAGATGATAAGATGAGAGAGAGAGAGAGAGTGAGGAGAGAGAGAAAAGGAGAGAGAAGAGGAAGAGAGATGAGAGAGAGGAGAGAGAGAGAGAGAGAGAGAGAGAGAGAGAGAGAGAGAGAGAGAGAGAGACAGCGAGGAGAGAGAAGAGAGAGAGAGAGAGAGAGAGATGAGAGAGAGATGAGAGATGATAGAGATAGA